GAGCAGAATCTAGTTTTTTTCTCTTTTATCTAAACTAATTCTTGAAAGGCAAGAAATTAGGGCTTTTCTGTTTACTTCTTGAGACTCAAACTAGATTTTAACTTTATGTTCACTCTTGTTTTCTAGCACTTTGTTCTCAATATTCCTGTACTAGTATGAGGTCTTGCTACTACAGTTTAGATTTTTTAATACTTTTATTTGCTGCTATGTTAGTAAGCTTTTGTCACTTAGGTTTAATAGCTAGTTAAAATAGTAAATACTGAGCTTTGCTTGCAACCTTCTACTTCTTTCTTTTTATATTGTGTTTAGTATACTTGCTAGTATTAATCCTAAGCCTAAGATACTTCACCTTTTTTCTTCTGTTGAAAATGCTATATCCAAATTCTTGTACTGATTTATTACATTAAGTATGATATTGTCTTTGAAACTTGTCTTTGGCTCTTCACATAAGTGTGTCTAGATATTTTGCAAAATATCTTTACTTAGAATTCCTTGTCAAATTTGTAGCTTGGTTAATTGTTTCACTATACTAGTACTATTTAACCTTTTGATTAAACTTGTAGTTTGCTTTGCTATAACTGCATTTGCTAGTATTTTGACTTCTAAAACTACTATGAGTCAGAATACTGTTTGGCACTGTTTGTACTATTTCTATTTTCTTCTTTATTAAGCATAGTAAGGGCTGATGAATTGTATATAGTTTCTTTTCTGTTAATGCTACTGTTTATAAAATATACTCTAGTTTGAAAATTAGAACTTAATTGTCTATATATACTAGTTAACCTGCTATTATCTTTTTCTTTTTTAATTTTAGTGTAAAAAGCCCTACTATTTGTCTTGCTTTTTTCTTGATCTCTTTTATATCTTTTGTAATATGTAGAAAGGTTCCTAAAAACTATAGCTTATGTAGTCTTTTTTCTCTTTAACTGTAGCACAACCATAATCTATCTGCCTTTCTACTATTGGGTGTTTCAAATTGAGAACTACTAGCTTAGACTTGCTGCCATTAATTTCTAAATCATTTAGCAAAAAGAACTGCTTTGTTATTTGAATCATTTGGGTTTTTGACTATGCAATCTATATAGTGTCATCAGTATAAGCAAGAATCGCTTGTCTAATATTGGCTAGTCTTTTAATTTCTAGAAGTGTTTCTACCTGTGCCGGTATTCTTGCTTCATATCCAAGTACCTTGTTTTTCTGCACTTGCTCTAAAAGAGGGTTATAAAAAATTCTTCACAGCAGAGAAGAAATCGTTTCTCTCTGATCTATATCCCCTTCTACTATAACTTCTTAAGTCAAGCCATAGACTATTATGATCTTTAACTTCTTGTTCTCAAATAAGTTATGAACTAGTTTGCATATACAATTTGGGATCTTGATTCACTTTAATGCTCTTTGCAACATATGAAGATTTACCAAATCAAAAGCCTTTTTCATATCTTGAAATAACACTCAAAATTCTTGCCCACTTTCTTCTACATCTTCGATTGGGGCCTTCAAAATATGCACAGGTTCTTTTGTAGAGTTTTTTGGCAAACCAGTAAAGTTAGGGCCTTGCAGTATGTCTTTTTCTTTAATAACTTTGTTTAATTATTTTGTTAAGATTTTTATAACACATTTTTTAACCACTTCTATTAGCATGATTAGTCTAACTTTGTTAAGGCAATATTCCTAATCTTGTCCCTTTGTAATTGGGTAATCTTGTGTTGTTTTTTAACTAGTTGGAATGTTGCCAACTCTTAAGCATTGCTCTGCAAAATTCTTAAAAACCAGTTGCATTTTCAAGTTTATCTGCTTTAATAATGCATAAGAAATTGTTAACATTTTTGGTGCCAAGTTCGTTTCACTTTTATTTAATATTAATTACTATTCTGCTAAAGAAATAAAGTAGTTGCAATACTAAGTTATATCACAATTTCTGAATTTGTTCTTTAGATTGATATTCTTTCAGCTATAAACTTTATATCTTATTGCTATCTTTTTTTTTGTTTATAAACTGGTTTTGAAAATGTTCTTAAACTTTTTCAAGTACCTCTACTAGGTTAGTTGCTAGCTTGAGTGATTCTGAATCTTGTGTAGGTACTCTGTCTAGTACAATTTTGTTATAAGGCCTTTCTAGTAGACTTGCTAGCATTCTTTTTTAATCATTGACAATTTGCTCTGCTCTCTTCTCAATATAGTATCGAATTTTATTTCTTTTAGTATGTTCTGTATTTTCTACTAGCTTGCCTTCTATTGCTTTCTATCAAATAACTGCTTCATTTTGCCATATTGATATTTCTGTTAGCATAATTTCTTTAATGATGCTACCTGCTCATATATTTACCTGCCTAATTTTTCTGTTTAGATACACCACCTTTTTATTATACTCTTTTTTATTTAGTTGTTTTGTTTCTCTAATTAGTTTATCTAGAAGATGGGTTGCTTTGTAGAACTTATTTTTTTACTTTTGTCTTCTGTATTTTTCTTGCTATTGACTAGTTTGTTTGGCAGGTTAATTTTGGCAGCTTGTACAATTGCCTTCTCTATCAGTTCCCAAACCTGATCAAGGCTTAACTCTGTTTGTATTATAGTGTATGAATCTATCTCAAGCAAGTCATATTTGAATATGTTTAGTAGTTTATTGTTTAGTCTGTTTTACAGATTTTCTTGGTAGATATTTCAATTTTCTTTCATAGCTTTGTCAAGTAACCAAACTCTTTATTTTGGATCATATAGAGCTTTATATTGTTAACTGTTCAGAGAAGCTAAAAGAGCCTAGCTTATTTTTGCATATGCAAGATCATAGTTACTACCTATAACCATCGTTATTCTTCTAATATTAGCTTCTTGTATTAACTTGACTAACTCACTTAATATCCAGATTTGGTCTATTCTTGTTGCTATTGTATTGTTGCTCTATATAAACTTCTTTTTATCTGGGTTAAAGAGTCTGTAGATATCTGCAAAGCCCTGGTCTTTGAGCCATTTGTATAGTAATAGTTTTTTGCTATTTTCAACTTGAGATGATTTGTCCAAGATTGGATTAATTGTATAATTGAAGTCTCCTATTACAATTGTAAGTTTGTTTTTCTGTCTTTTACTTATACTCTGCTAAATTATACTTTCTATTTCTTTTGTGGCCTCTAGATTATTTAAAAAAATATATACTATGATTACTACTACTTTGTAAACTTTGAAGTAAAAGTGCACTATTAGTAAGAATTTACTTGGTTAGTCTAATAAGCAGACCAACCCCAAAGCCTTTCTTTTTTGTTTTTGAAGCTAATAACCAAATTTCTCTAAACCTAATACTGTCCTTTATTATATATCTAGCTTTTTCTTCATGTAAATTTGTTTTCATTATTCCTATTATATTATAGCATTCTTTTTCTTCCTAATCAACCAACATGTTTACCTTATGTTTATATGTATTTGGCCTATTAATATTGTATGTTGCAATTTTAATTTGTCTAACCAGTCTTGTAGTATGTGTTGGTACTACTTTAGTAGATTTAGATTACAGATAACTAATTTAGCTTTAGCCAAGTTTTTAGTCTGAGCTCTCATTCTTGTATATAACTTATATTTTTTGTTATTATACAAACTAAGTTGTTACTTCTATGTAATTACTTGTATAAATTACCCAATAAAAATATAAGCAAGGCCTCATCTTGATACCAAAAAAAAAAAAATTTTGAACTATTATATTATTTTAAAAAAATATACTTATATATATCATGAAGTTTTTCTGGGTTGGCTCAAAATTTTCTGAGTTATACAAATTGCTAAATTTGATTGACTAATCTATATATTAATTTTATTACTAATTTTTATATCTAATCTTTAAAAATTTATATCTCACTAAGTTTTTAACCAATTTTAATTATTTTACTACCATTAGAATTGGAAAAACCCGCTCTGCAAACTTTTCTTAAGAATTAAAATTAGTTTACTTAATACAATATTTTATAAAATTAAATATAAAAAAAATTACCATTAAGTTTATATATCTCTTTGTATGCTATACAGGCAAATTTGTCTGCAAAATTTAATTTTTAGATTACAAAAAAAAATCTATACTAAGAATACTCTCCAAAAATATATATATTACCTATCTAGCTTTGTACTATATTTAAATAAAATGTTAACTAACAAAAATATATTTACAGTAACTAGACACTAACCAAAGATTGCCAATTATTTTAATTATTTATCATAGTAATAACTAATGTCCTTTGCACTATTAAGAAATTTTTGGTATCTATTAGTTAGGTCTTAGTTGACCAGGCTCATATAAAGAGATGTTTGATATGATTGGTCTGGTCAAATCATATGAGAGTCACTATATTAGTTAAATCAGTAACTTAATACAAGTAGTGTTTTGAACCGTCAACCAAAAGTTCAACCAGGGCTAATTCAGGTAGACTTCCGGGTATTCCCAGCCAATCGCTGATGTTTGTTTACATTGGGTAAAATAGAATTGACGCATCCTATTTTACCCGATATAAACAAACATCAGCGATTGGCTGGGAATACCCGGAAGTCTACCCGGATCAGCCCTGGTTGAACTTTCGGTTGACGGTTCAAAACACTAAATACAAGTATAAAAGTAAAGTATATTATAGTTTGTGCATAATAATGCATAAATATATATCATAAATTTGTTAATTTGTTGTAATATGATGTAATATAGCATTTATAAACAAATAAGAGAAAGGTCAAGTGCTTTTTCTCATATTAAATAAAAAAAATTCTTTGTCTTCATAATAATTAAACTTTACTTTATTAGTAACTTAATTGTTTAATCAAAGTTGAGAAAAAAAAATAATTTTTTCAATATTAGAATTTCTTTTTGATTGAAAAAAAATCATATTTCCATTAATTTGAACAATTTTGTATGTTAATTTATTTATTTATTTTTTTTTACTTACAAATTTATTATTTAATATCAATTTTCTTTTTTTTTTAAAATCTAATAGAAGAAAATATTGATTTATCTGATGAATTATCTAATGAATATGTTGTATTATTTATTCTATGAAGATTATCTAGAGATTGTACAGAAAATGTGTTTTTTGAAGGTATAAACGATTCTAATAATTCTGCTAAAGTAGACAATATAAGTATTGATTTAGAACAAATTGTTATTAGTGAAAAAAATAAAGAGAGAAAGAGTAGAGAACATGCAAAAAAAAGGAGCCAAGAAAGTAAAAGTGGAAAAAGTTTAGAAAGAAAAGCCAAGATTTCTGCTCAATTGCCTAAGCTACCTAACTTTAATGTATTAGTTCAAATCTGCCTTATTATAAAAGTTATATCATACTACTATGAATTTATTCTAATAGTAAAGTTTTTCTATACAGTTTAATTAGGCTTTTTTTTTTATATAGTATTCTTACTACAATTGTAACAAATACAAATAAATATGCACAAATAAAAAATATTAGTATAGTTGGGTGAATACAGATACCCTTAACTTTGAATGAATTGAAAATTTGAATAGGAATTGTTGTATATATGGGTGTCATTAAATTATCTAGAGTAACTAATTATTGGTTAATTGATTCAAAGTTTCCTAGACATAGTATTATACAAGAAATGTCAATATTTCCTTTTCATCAAATTAAACAATATTTACATATTTTAGATCCCAACTTAGAAAATTCTTATTAGTATAGCAAAGTTGAACCACTCATATCACATATTAGAACTATTAGCAAGCAACTTTATATACCTGGATTACATGCATCAATCAATGAAATAATAATATGTTTTTTAGGTCATAGTAGTCATACTTTTTGAATAAAGAACAAACCTGTTCTCAAAAGATATAAAGTTATATCTTTATGTAAAAAAGGGTATACTTATACATTTATTTTTGAATCCTGTATTATAGATAATAAAGAAATTATAAATATTTCTGGTCTTAGTAAAACAGAATTTTGTGTATCATATCTTGTTACTCAATTACCAAATGGGCATGCATATAATATATATATGGATGATTGTTTTACAAGTATTTCACTTTTTTATTATTTAAGAACAAAAAGATATAGAGCTTGTGGTATAGCATAAACAAATTCTTCTATGTTTTCTAAAATACTAAAATTTGAAAAATTAATTAAATTAAATTGGAATATTTTATCTGGTGTAGTTATCAAGAATGTGTTGGCAATTTTATAGATAGATAATGGTTCTGTTTATATACTCTTTACTATTCATAGAATTAAAAATAATAAATGAAAAGTTTCTGCAATGCGTCGAAGACCATGAATAACCAGTACAAATGCAGTAAATATGTGAAAAGTTTTTGGTAAAATTTTAAAAAAGAAAATTCTTATACCAAAGGTTATTGATAATTATAACTATTTTATGGGTAGTGTTAATACAGCAGATCAATATCAGTCATATTATAACTGTCAACCTACTTTTTTGTATAACTGGTTACTGTTTATGTTTTGGTTAATTGATACTGCAATTGTAAATTCCTATATTATATATAAACTAAAAGGTAATTTAATTATTAAATATTTTAATATATTTCATTTTATTAATAAATTATTATATTTTAGATGGAGATTTAAGTCATGAAAGATTTTATTTACAAATTACATGGGGTTTTATTAATAAGATATTAAGCAAGAATAAAGGTTTAAAAATAAAAAAAGTTTTAAAGTCAAATTATATGAAAATTTTGCTTCAATTGTTAATAAAAATTTTAAGTTACTAGTAATTTGACTCTCTGGTATTAATAATTATCCTAAATGGAGAAATAGAAATAATTATGTCATATGTGTATAGTGCAAATAGGAGGCCAAAATTGGTAATATTCAAATTGATAAAAAAAATCACCACAAAGCCAAGTTTGGTGTACACTTCCCTGACAAAAGTTACTGGCTAATGATCATTTTTGGAAGTGATCTGCAAATTAAAGAATTTGTTAAAAATTCATTTTAATGTAATTGTTAGAGAATACATTGTAAATACTTATATGGTTAGATAGTTAAAGACCTGTAGTTTTCATAAATATACAGAAAATTTGTAATTGTGTTTGTAGTTCTTTCTCAATGTCACAAAACTGTAGAGAATTATCTGAAAGTGAACAAAGCCAAATAGTCAGTGCTTGGAGATATGGTTCTCTAGTTCCAACTATTATAACACAACTTAGCTTTTCAAAAACAACAGTTCAAGATATAATTAAATTGTATAAACAAACTGGTAAAATAAAACCATCAGCTCAGAGTGGTAGGCCACCCATATTAAATAATTATGATAAATAGCACTTGGTTTGTGTTGTAAAAAGTAATTGCAAAGCCATTTTGAATGTTTTGCAAGATGAATTCTTGCAATCAACCTTTGTAAATGTTTCCAGATGTACTTTACAATGTTACCTTCATAAAGAAGATTATTATGCTTATTTCAATAAAAAAAAACTATATATTAATATTCTGAATCAGAAGAAATGTCTCACTTGGGTAAAAGAATATTTGGATTGGACTTCTAAATAGGATACCATTATTTGGAGTGATGAATCTCGCTTTGAAGTATATGAAGGTGATGGTTGTAGTTATGTTTGGTGCTTACTTAGTGAGAAGTATAATGTAGATTGTCTTGTCCAACTTTTATGTTGGGTAGAAGGGGTGTGATAGTATGGGGATATTTTACTGTAAATGGTTTGAGTCCGTTAATTTGGATTAATAGTCGACAAAAGTTACCAGATTATGTTGAGCTTTTGGAAACTCATTTGTTACCTTTTTTAGAAGTTCTTGATCCAAATTTGGATTATACCTTTCAAGATGATAATTGTCCAACTCATCGGGCAAAAGTAGTAAATAACTGATTACAAGTAAATCAAATTGCCCATCTTCTGTAGCCTGCACAGAGCCCAGATCTCAATCCTATCGAACATCTTTGGGATGAATTAGAACATTAGGTTCATAGGCATAGTCCATTGCCAACTAGTGAGGCTGAGCTCTTTTTCTTTTTGGAAGAAGAGTGGTACAATTTGGATGAATCGGCTTACTATAAATTGATTAGTAGTATGCCTGATCATTGTAATGCTGTAAAAAAGGCTAAAGAAACCCTACATCATATTAAATTTACAAATAAAATATTAGAAGACTTTAGCTACATTTTTCAATAAAAAATATTTTAAAAAGTATTACTAACCTTTTTGTAAAATCGATTAAAAAAATTTTTATAAGTTTACTGATCATTACCAAAAATGATCATCAGCCGGTGACTTTTGTCAGGGGAGTGTATGTATGTATAAGTTAAATAATGATTGGCTTGAGATCGTGCTTAAGCCACAATGGGCACTGATTCATACAACGCAAAATTACTTGAGCCCCTATTTGTACGTAATATTTTCAAAAAATTAGACTTTTATAAATAAATAACTTTAAGTTTGGCCCTTATTCATAATTATTTTCAAATTTGGGTCTCTATATGTAAATTCCCCTTTTTTATATGTTGCACACCGGGTGAAGGATCAGTCGTGTAACATCAACGGTCTCTCTCTCCTGTTCATTTTTCTACCATAAAAAAAAAAAAAAAAATTCTCACTATATTTTTATAATTATGCACGCAACTATAAAGTTATTAATGTGCAAAGCACAAGACACAAACTAGTTTTTAATATAAACTTTGCCTAAATCTTTTTACGTACGTATATAGTATTCTTAACGTTAATCTAGTCCTAATACGTATTAAAATCGGTTTAATGCGGACCGATGTTAATAAAGTAATACGTAACGACTTACAGATTGTCGTTACACAATAGATCTTGTTTAGGCTTGAGCAACCATCTAACGCTCTGATTAGGTTATTAATACGACTTTACGTAACCGGTTAATTACTACGTAAAGCTTATTAAAGTTTACGTAAATATTATATAAGTAATTATACCTAAATGGAAATAGACAATCGGTGAATGCAAAATTTGAATACGTATTTCGAATCAACCTAACATAAAATTCGAATACTTACGGAAGAAGAAAAAAAAAAAAACTAATGCTAAATCGACCTTAATTACGATTTAAAAATAACAAAAACAAAATTTTACATATAGAACGGCAATCCGCTTTTAATGTTATTATTCTTAAATTTCTATACGTTTTTTTGGGAGTTGCGGAAATACATACGTACGTAAGTGAAATTGCAGCTTTGCTAATTGTTGCACTTTTCACAAATCCAATTGAATTTGAACCAATGGGAACTGCAGTTCAAATTAACGTGCAGTACAGTATCGAAGATTTGATCACCCACAATTAATGAATTTGTAATTTGTGGTACGTGTGTACGAAAGTTTATTTGTATATAAAAAATGAAGACATACGTATCCGCATAATAAATTAAATATATAAAAGTCGGTCGAAATTACCTTTCATTGAAACTTGAAAAATTCTAATAATCTTCTAAAAATTCTCCGACTAATTAGCGCATGTATGCAAACTTTATGATTCATTAACATTTAAATAATAATATTTGATATTCTTAGTTTATACTACATGTCACAATCCAGTGGTGATGTCATCAAAAATGAAGAGCCAAATTTTGATGATATGGTTTACAATTATAATTGGTCATCGACTTTGCTCGGCCCTATGGACTCATGGGAACCTGCACTTAAAAATGCTATGGTAATTTACAAATATACTGTATAAACTTTTAAGCATAATTAATAACTGGTAAAAATCACATATTACAGACTTTGTGTCTCAAATCTGCGTTTCCTACATGTATCCACCTCGGCCCTCCTGATTGGCTTGTAGTATATAATAAAGGTAAAAACTATTTTTATTTTTCATTTACTTATTTTATATAATTAAATCTTTAATCCATTCGATTAGCATTTATACCATTATTAAAGGCGAAACATCCATACGGTAATTATATAATTTCACACGTATATTTATAATAAACTTTACCAATTTAACGACTTTATTAATATTAATTAATATTAAATAGCATTAGGAAAACCGACTATGGATGTTTGGCCTGAAGTGTATGATAGAATGCTTCCACAATTTGAATAGTAAGTTTAATGAATTTTTTTAAAAAAAATCTTTTACAATATTTACTAGTATAATATATACTGTATGTGTAGCGTAAGAACAACAGGCAAGGGTATATATAGAAAGAATACATGCCTAGAACTACTACGTGATGGATATGCAGAAGAGTCATATTTTGACTATACTTTTAGTCCGATTTTTAAATCAGATGGATCTTTCTGTGCTATATTTACTCTTTCATATGAAACTACTCAACGAATTTTGCATGCTAGAAGGTTAAAAGTACTGAACGAATTAGGTCATAGGATTTCTGGTTAGCAATCATATTTCGTAATATATATATTTATTTATTATATTGTAATTATAGAAATTATCAGTTAACGCTTTTTTATGTTGTCGTTTTATTTCTTAAAGAGGTTGAATCTTTAGAAAGTGCCTGCCATCTTATGACTAAAGTGCTAAGTGATAATGTAGATATTCCTTATGCATTAATTTATTTTGCTGAACACAAATTAAATACTAGTTCTGAATCTCTGGTCGCTCGTTTGATCGCCACGACCTTTGACGAAGATAATAAAAAAGGAAGACATATTCCTGATTATTTACCAGTTACTCCCGAAATAATTTATTTAGCTAAAGATACTATTCAGAGCCATAATACTTATGTAGAGCTAAACCGAGAAGCTGCAACTTATTCGTTCTTAAAATGTGAATCCTGGCCAATAGACCTTGTAATAAAAGAAGGAAACGATGTAAAAGTTCTTTTAAATGATGACTCTCAGGCTGTCCTTTTATCGACAAAAATTTCTTTTTACGGTGATCAAATTTTATCTGCCGTATTAATTTGTGGTATCAATCGACTTCGCACACTTGATGAGCAGTATATGGAATTTTTACATGTAAAAGCTCGCTCAATCAATATTCATTCGTTTCATTATGCTAATAAAATATGCTCATAGAAAATACTTAAAATATCTATAATTTTTAGCTAGTCACAAATCAAATGAATATTTATTTGCTAAATGGGAAAACAATTGAAGAAGAAAAGAAGCGATCTAAACTATTGGCTGATTTAAATTATCAAAAAGTCTCATTTTTTCAGGGAATTAGTCATGAGCTAAAAAGTATTGTTTTATAATTTTATACTGTAATAAATAGTTTTAGAAAATGGTTTGTATAAATGTACTTAATTTTTTTTTTATCATAACAGCACCATTAACCTTAATGCTCTCACCACTTGACGACGTAATTAATGTGTGTTCACAAGAAGCACCAATAGTATCACATCTTCAAACTACACGACGTAACGCTCGTCGATTACTTAAGCTTATTAATACTTTATTACAAGTAAGTTATAAACGTACCGTATTATAATAGTAAATATAATAGTTCTGAAAGCTAATTATAGCAATTATTGAATATATACTACTTATATAGTTTTCAAATATTGAAGCTAATCAACTAGAAACAAATTTTCGTGAAACAAATATGACTGAATTTACTCGTGAATTAGCTTCTGATTTTAAAAATATGGCTAAGACGTTAGGTTTGGATTACAATATCGATATTCCACATTTCGACGAATTTAATCAAACAATTGGTGATAAAATTTATTTGGATCACGACATGTATGAAACAATTGTATATAATCTTTGTAAGTGTTTCTATATATGTTGAAAAAAACTATACAAATCGCATTCATTAAAACGCATATACTAAAATATTTTTCTTATTAAAAGGTTCTAATGCAATAAAGCATACTTGGAATGGTTGCATAACCGTTCGCTTATGTCTTGGCTATAAAGACAATAAAAGGATGGCAATTCTTGAAGTTTCTGATACAGGTTAATAATATTCTTTATAAGCTTATTTGCATTAAATTTGGATAGAATATGGAATAAATTTCTATACTCGGATTATTTACTTTAAATTTAGGTGTTGGTATTCCAGAAACCGCACTTCCGAATATATTCCAGCGTTTTTATCGTGTAGAATCTCAAGGTTCACGTAGTCATGAAGGCACTGGAATAGGGCTTGCTCTCGTCAAAGAATTTGTTACATGCCATGGTGGAAATATCACTGTAAATTCAATAGTAAATCGTGGAACGACTTTTAGATGTTGGTTTCCAATAGGATGCGACCACTTACCAAAAAACCAAATACATATTAATAACGTTGAAAATCCAATAGATAATTCTCGAAAATTATATACTAATAGACAGCTTTATTTAGAAGAAAGTTCTCAATGGATAAAAAATAGTACTTCTGAATCTCAATATGAAATAACGAATCAAGTATCAATCAATGATCGAAACATGAATAATGATACTAATAATATATTAGAAAAAGATGATGTTGGTGAAAAATATCACGTATTAATTGTTGATGATAATAATAATATGAGGTAACGTTTTCTTTATTCAATCAAATTAATTATTTTATAAATTGTTGCTTATCGTTTGCTGTGTTTATAGAGATTATCTGGCGGATTTGCTAAGAGAATTTGTTATATATCGCGCGTGCGATGGTCAAGATGCTTTACAAATTTTAAAAAAGCTCAGAAAATTACCAGATTTAATCCTTAGCGGTAAGTAAATATAATCACAACATTTAGATATTTGTTGTTATTTATACATAATTATTAAAATCATGCAATTTGAATTTAATAGATGTCATGATGCCAAATATGAATGGTTACGAGCTATTAGATGTATTAAGAACTAATGCAAGAACTCAATTAATTCCTGTAATATTATTATCGGCAATAGTTGGTGAAGATTCTAAAATTAAAGGTAATTTTACTACGTATAACTATCATATCATTAATTTATTAATAGACCATTCTACATATATTTTCATCACTTTCTTTTTGCATGTACTTTTAGGTCTTGATAAAGGAGCAGATGACTATTTAGTAAAACCATTTTCTGCTCGAGAACTAATTATCCGTATTCGCACTAATATTAAGCTCTCAATTTTCCGCCGCAAAATATTATTTCAACAATATAAACAAGAAAAAACAAAACAATTATTGCTTTCAATATCGAGTAAAATTTTTTCCAAATCAAATCTAGGTGAAACACTACAAAATATTATTAAAGAAATCTATTATATATTACCTTGTGAAAGAATATTTATTATTTCAAATGAACAGTCAGATTCTAATGATAATAAAATAGTTGTTTCATATGAGGGCTCTAAAAGTATAACACCAACAACGAATCCATTCATGGAAATGAGTGACAATAATAAAAATGAAACACAAACATTCATTAAGTCACAAGAATATAATAATTCAGGAATAGATATTTGTATGGATGTATATTGTGATTATGTTATTAAAAATGTATCGGTATTATCTGTAAAATTATGGTTGAATAATGATTTTTGGGGATGGATAAAAGTTCATAGATCTCCAAATTCTATTTGGTTTGATTCTGAAATAGAATTATTACAACAAATATCGAATCAAATAAGTTTAGCTATTACTTGTGCAAAACTATCAGAAGAAAATACTGAAAAGGAAATTCAAATAAAAGCTGCTGAAGTTGCTAATAATGCCAAGAGTCAAATATTAGCAAATACCTCTCATGGTATGTTATTATTGTTATGTACTGTGCATTACTAAAATTTTCATACTACTAATTAATCATTTTTTATAATTCTTATAATAGAATTACGAACACCATTAGGTGCAATAGTGGGCATCCTTTCTTCCTTTGAGAGTACTTCCTTATCAGCTGATCAAAAGAATATGATCAATATCATGACACATGCTTCTGATGTTGTATTATCCATAATAAAGGATATACTTGATGCAGCAAAACTAGAAGCACAAAAAGTTACTCTAATAAATAGAACATTTGATTTATTAGAATTATTTGAGAACATAATTGAGGAATTCGGAAAGAAAGCCGGAGATAAAAAGATTGAACTAATTGTAAATTGCGATGTAGATCAATTACCAAGATATGTAAAGAGTGATCCCGATAGGTGATTGGACTAATATATTTTATGTTAACGTGTTAAAAGGCAGGAATTTATTACTTACATTATCTCTTTAAATAGGCTAAAACAAGTTTTATCCCATTTAATATCAAATTCGTAATTATTTTTGCATATTTACTTAATTTTCATAACTTATTACAACGTTACATAATAATTTATTGATTTTTTTCTAGAGTTAAATTTACCGATAAAGGTGAAATCTTACTAACAATTTCAATGCAATCACACGAAATCGACGAAAACGGAGAGAATCAAACTTATAGTAAAATTGTTAAAAAAGGAGATCTGTTGATTGAATTATATGACACAGGAATTGGGTAAGCAACGTATTTAAACAACGTATTTATGATTGTATATTTTTTATTTTAGCATACATATTATCTAAACATCTAGCGATCTATTTAATAATAGTATGGATCCAAAATATGTACGACATGCTTGGGAAAGCTTTTCACAAGGTGATATGTCAGTGACAAAGAAGCAAGATGGTACAGGACTTGGTCTTTCAATTTGTAAAGGTCTAGTAGAAATTAATGGAGGAAAAATTAAAGTAGAAAGTCAGTTAGGAAAAGGGAGCAAATTTTGGTTTACATGGAATGTCGAATTTCTATCAATAACTTCCTCAGTTTTAGAAAAACAATTTGATGAACAAATGAGCTATAGTATAAGACAGAAACGAATACTAATAATTCATCCAGTTGAAAGTGTTAGAAATACAATGCTAAAATATCTTAAAAGGATTAAAAAAGTTGATGCATTTGAAACTTTTGACAAGGGTATTAGAGAAGCAAAAAAATATAAAGAATTGCTTAATTCATCTGCTTATGATATAGCATTTATTAATCTTTATGAAAATAATGAAGAAGTCTTGAAAGCAGCATCAAATTTAAGAGAATTAGAAATGCATAATAACAATTTAGTAATAGTTTTTATAGTATTTCCGAATGATGAAGGAAATAAGTTAGCAAAAAAAATAATACAGAAAATTGGAGGACCAACATCCATTCTTTATACTCCAATTACATTTAAGAAGTTAACTAATCTATTTATATTTATGGAAAAAAACGATGTGATTAACAAAAATTATAATATTAAGACGGAAAGTGCAAATCAAGATGATTCTGAGAGTAGAACAACAAATGTTACTAATAATAAGTGCATTTTATCTGTGGTATGTTATTATTTTAGTTCGATTAAATATATATATTTTAAAATGCTAATCAATTGGTTAAATATTACTTGTAGGATGATGATTATATAAAGGTAATTATATTTTAAAATATCGACTTACATTCATTCTTTAACTTATTTTTATTGTTAATTTTTATTTTAGAACACATTGATTAGCAAGTTACAGAATCTGGCTATTTAATAGTCATTACAGAAATAGTTAAAAATAATTAAATTAATTTATTTCTAATTTAAGTTATTAAGCAGTGTATATTTGTTCAATTTAAATATAAACTATACTAGTTTACAAAATTTTATTAATATATATGGGCAGAGTGCTACAGAATAGAGGGAAATCGACAAATTTTCAATTTTTTATTTTTTTTTTCACAAATCAATTTAGAATAGGATTAGGTTTATTTTTTACTTAAAACACAAAAGCAATTGTATTAATAAAATTTTGTAATATAGTTCTTGAAAGTTTATATTTTCTTATGATTTATTATAAAATTTATAACTAGTTTTGAGTTGAAGGAATTCGGCAGCCTGATTAAATAATTTATCTGTCCTCTTACTCAAGTCTTTTTAATAACAAGAAGACTATTAATTCTTAGATTAATTGTAATAAAGTTTTTACTATATCATTATATTTATAAAAAAAAAATAAAATTTTTTTATGTAACTTTAACCAATTTTTTACTTAGTAAAATATTAAAAAAAAAATCAAAAGCCAGCAAACTATATAAACATAAAATTTTGTATTAAACAACTTTACTTAAAGATAAAAGTAGGTTGTTTAAACAAAAAAAAGTTATTTATAGAAAAATTAAGAATTTTAATATTAGTATATGCAAAACTTTTTTTACTAAAAAAACCTCTTTTTGCTTTCTAAATAAACCTGTTTAGCATAAAATTTTACATCCAAGAATAAATTTATTATTAGAAGAGTTTTTTCCTATAAATTTAAATTTGCAAAATATATAAATTTTGCTAAATTTTAAAATATTATTTTAAGTAACTTTATTTGGTTTCTTTCAATATAGTTACTTTAAAAATTTAAATATAAGTTAATATATAATTTAAATATAAGTTAATATATAATTTAAAAAAATCTTGGCTTTAAAGTTTATATGTAATTCTTTTTTTTTTTGGTATTAAGGTGACCTCTTTGGCTATAGAAAACTCTTTATTAGTATTATTTGCTATTATAGTTACAACAAAAATACAACTAACTACATATGCATCTTTTAAGTACCTACTTAAGTAGTTTACTTACAGGTTTTACACTAGATATCATATCTATAACCCAACTAAAGAGTTACTTATTTAAACCTTCTGATCCTAACTATTTTTAAATATATTATACTAACTCAAGAATTACTATCTAGCCCATTTCACTAGATTGTGTACCCTGTTTTAAAACTTTTGTAACTTATCCTATATTTGTACCAACTAGTTACTAGCTTGTATTTCTCTATTAAGTAAATACATGGCTATTCTTGAGATAAATCTACTAGAACTTTCTCTATTCTATTTGGGCCAATTTGGTTTTGCACAGTTGCTGAGGCTTCTATTTACAGTTAGGATTATTTTTATTTAACAGCTTTCATCTTTATAAGATTCACTCCTAATCCTGATACTTATATTTAGACTTTTTCTTTTTCTATTATTTTCTTATTAGTCTATCTCTTACTTCTAACTAATGATCTAGAAGAATTGATTTTGGTTTAGCTTTAGGTGCTGGTGCTCTTATCTTATCTTAGTATATAATTTTTTTGTACATGTTTTTTTTTTCCAATTTAGTTAGCTAGTCCTCTAGATATATTTGCATTTTTCTATTAGCTGGTTTTCTGCCCAACTTCTATAGCCTCTAGTCTGATAAGATAGGGCCCTTGCTGCTAGTTTCCTGTACTGACTAGCCAGAGTTGGTGTATTCTGTAATACTTTACAGATTTTTAATTTTTTTAAATTAGCAGTTATGTTAGTATATTCTTACTAAAGAATCTTGTTATCGTTCAGTTTTCTAATCTTAGTTCTAACTTTCAAATTTGAGTCTTTTTTGTAGTATTATCAAAGATTATAGCTATTTCTTACTTAGGTCTTCTTAAACAGGTTTAAATCATTCTAGTTTCTAGATCTTTTATATATCAAAGCTCCTATATAAACATAGTACTACCAAGATTACAGGTTTTAGAACCCAACTAATTAACAAATAATTATTACTATAATGTAGGCTTATTTTTTAAAAATGTTATCTGTAAAATTTAAACTTTGGATCTGCTGCTTAGTAAAGTAACAAATAGACCACTTTACTAAGCTGCTACACCCCTGTTTATATATAATTCTATATATTTTTATTATAATTTTATATAATAAAAAATACTTATTTGATATATTATCTGACTATTATATATATAGAACAAGTTTATACAAAGTATAAATATATAATTAATTAGTAAAATATTTAGAATTATATAATTTTTTATAATTTTATTAATAAAATTACAAATAATATGGTCTGTGATATTTATTAACTAATATTAATTTACTATAGAGGCTTACTTCTCACCTCCAGATAATATTATTTAGCCAATCAAATTAAACTAGATAAGATTTTTTTTGATATCCACCTTCTAAAATATTATCTAATAAATTCAGCACTCTATTATAATCCTCAAAATTTTATTAATTAATTAATTATATTTTTATTTTTTAAGTAAACATGTTTTATATATAAAAATACACTATAATAGAATAAATTTACTTTATAATTTTAAATTTTAAAAAAAATATTCTTAATTTTAAAAATTTTGATTAAAAATTTCAAAATTAAGTATCTTTTTTTAATATAAAGTAAATGCAAGCCAAAATTATATAGTTTTATATATTGAATAAGTTTATTTAAAACTTAAATATATGATTAATTAATAATTACAAGAATAATATTTTTCATAATTTTATTAATAAAATTATAAAAAATTATATAATCTTCAACATTTTACTAATTAAATATATATATTTTTTTAAGTAAACTTGTTTTATACATAAAAATACATTATATTGATATATATTTATTTTATATTTGTAAATGTTTAAAAAAAATATTTAATTTTGAATTTTTGATCAAAATTTTCAAAATTAAAAATATTATTCTTTAAATTTAAAATTATAAAGCAAATATATATCAATTTAGTATAGTTTTATATGTAGAAAAGATTACTTTGAGTATAAAAATATAATTAATTAATAAAATTTGAGAATCATAATATTTTTCATAATTTTATTAATAAAATTATGCAAAATATTTTTATTTTAAATTTTTACTAGTAAATCTCTCTTACTTCTAATAAAGTTGTAGAAGAGAATTTTGTAATTAAAATAGCAGTTAAATTTTTAAAATTGATCTAGCAAATCATAAAATATAAGTATTTTTGTCTTAATAACTATTTGTTTTCTTTTTATTAATATAGTATAAGTATAAATAATAAGTACTTTTCTAATTGTAATTGAATATATAAAATACTGTTTTCAATTAGATAAACTAAATTATATTAGCTTAGTATAATATATGAAACCATAATATTTTTTCAAAAAAAAATTTCAAAATAATTATTAATACTATATACATATTTTTTTTTATATATAAAGAAAAAACATATTTGCAAAGACTAAAATACTTATTTATATCTTATAATTCACTAGATTAATTTTAATGTTCTAATTGCTATTTAATTACAAGAAACTTTTTTACAACTTTATTTAGAAGTTAAAAAGAGATTTGTTAATAAAAAAAAATCTTTTTTTTTAAAAAACTTTAGATTCTAAAGACAATAGTAAATATTATCACTTTTTACTATGTTTTGTCACTGGTTCTTACTGTAGGTAAACCATGAATTAACTATAAAAATTAAAAACTTTATTTATATAAAATATAATTAAAATTTAAAGTTTTGAATTTGAGATTTAAAATTGACTTGAGTTTGGAATTTGAAATAGAGTTTGAGATTTGGGATAAAGTTTAGGATTTGGAATAGATTTGGGATTTGGAATTGGGATTTGTCATGTTTGGAATTTAGGTTTGTTCACTTGAAATTTGGGTTTGGGTTTGTGTGAGATTTTGAAGATTTTTAGTTTTGCCAACAAGTATATACAGTATAATATATTATCTCTTAAACTGTTGACAATTCCAGGCAAATTTGCCTAGAAAATTGCTATAAATTTGTTTATGATTTACTTTTTTTTAAAATTTAAAATATTTAAATAAAATTTTTTTTGATAATATTTGAAAATAAGGATTATATTATA